CACTCTTTCTTCTCCTTGGAGGGACTCCTCACCTCCAATAAGTAAGAGACTCAAGTGTCCCCTTCTCAGTAAGGTCTTCCATCATCCTATTTAAAACGGCAAGCCTTCCCAATGGCTCTAGCCCGAATCTTTTTTCCCTGTAGCACTTACGGTAGAATAGCTCACTATATGATGCATTTGTTATGCCTACCGCCTCTCCCAATTAGGATGAATTAGGGCGGGGAATTGTGTCTGTGGTATTCACTGCTCTATCATCAGTGCCTAGGACAGCACCTAAATCAAGGTAGGTACTCAGGTAATGTCTGTGGGTGGGAGGATGGATGGACGAATAGACAGGTGGGTGGGTGGATTTCCTGAAGGCAGGACACACCAGCTCCCTCAACCCCAGGAATGGGGTGTCTGCCAGCGGCACAGGGTGTGAGTCCAGAGGGAACAACATCCTGCCGCCCCTTGACAGACCCACAGCTTTGGCTTCTCCAGGAAGTAGCAGTCATTCATTCATTTGCTACTAACTGGGCACCTACTATGTGCTAGCCACGGTGTGCTCAGAGGTGAGGCAAGCATGGAGATCCTGACATTACCGGCGCCCTGGATAGAAACAGAAGAGATCACCAGAAACCGATCTAGAGCCTCGTGCACTGGCCAGGAATTGATCCTGGGAGGCGGGTGAGAATCCTACCATTGCTCCCACTGGGTTCTTGGGAACCTGCGAGTTAGAAATCATGCGAGTTCCCCAGAAAGCAGTACTCAGGCAACAGGTCTATCATACGTAGCTGGTGCACTGAAGGAAACAACTAAAGGAGAAAGAAAAATATTGCTCCCCAAGCAAAAGCCAGGGAACGGTCTGAAAGGAGTTGAGGTGGGAAAGATGACATCTAAGCATGACACTAAATATGCAGAGGCTGCGACTCTTCGGCACGTGTGTGTGTAACTACATGCTTCCTCATGCATTGAATGCCTCATTGGCATATTAAATCTCCACCCAGGGGTGTGTGTTTTAGCTAATTAAATGAGGGGAGGTCAGGAAAAGGACAATCTCTTGCTAGCATGCACTAGTGAGTGAAAGGAACCACATTTAAGCACATGGAAGTAAATCTTGCAGAAAGCCGTGTTCTTCGGCCTAGCTGCTAATTGGCTGTTAGGAGAAAAGAAAGCATTGGGGCAATTACTGGGGCCCTGGCTTCCTGCCAGCTGGGCCGGGAAGTAGCCTGCCTGTCTCAGTGCGACTCGCTCGGTCCAGTAGGAAATAGGTCTAACCTGGTTCTCTCATCAGGGGGTGTGAGAAGGCGACTGGGGTGGTAGGTGGTGGGGAGCTGGGGGTTGCTACCGCCTTGTCATGGGTGCAGGTAAAGAATGGGAGAAATCCTTCACCAACAACGAAGAACGCTGTTCCACTCTAAGTGCTCACAGTGCCGCCACTGAGAACTGGGGCAAATGACTGAACCACCTACGCCAGCCCAACCCCTACACAACCTGGCATCTGTTCTCACTGCCTGCCCAGCACCCACTCCCCGGGTGCTGGTAACAACATCTCAATTTCCCTTTGGGGAACTGAACCTCACCCAGCCTCAGTCGATAAGCTTCCCCACGTCCCACCCCAAGCTCATGACCCAGGCCTAGGTAATCCAACCATACCATCTCCCTGGCTGTGGTGAGTCAAGATAAGCACATAGGCAACTGCAATCAATGAGACTCAATCCCACAGCTTTGCAGGAACTAACAGGGAAAGGAGGCTGTCTCCCCACAGGAGTTACTGAGATAACAGGATGAACTGTAACTGTGTGGAAAGCACATCTGTCAAAACACACACAGACACACACACACACACACACACACACACACACACACACAAAAAAAAAAAAAAAAAGCACAGAAAGTATGAAGCAGAGCTAAGCAATAGAGGTCTTTGGAGCACCTAGATCTAACCATGCCTGAAACCCTAGTCGAGCTTAAAACGAGCATTTTCCTAGACTTTTCAGTCTTGTGACTCAAAAATCCCTTTCTTTTTTTTTTTTACTTTAGTCAATCTAAGTTAAGTTTCTGTGCCTTACAAATAGGCTAATATGCAAATCAACTGAACAGCAGAACAACCGATCACTATTGGCAAGACAAATAGTTTACTCCATTATCTCATTCATTCATTCCTCCACATACACTGCTGAGTGTGCACCATTTGCCAAGACCCCTATGTTCTCGGAGACAAGCAAAAACACACAAGGTCCACGAATGACACCCGGAATGGTAACTACCTAATGAAAGGAGATATACAAGATAACTAGGAGGCAAGAAGCTCACAAATCTTCCAAGATGGAAAATGCTAACTAGTGCCGGCTGCCTGGGGGTGCTATTTCAGGAAAGTGCATTAAGTGGACATGATAAATGCCAGGCTCTGTAACCTAAAAAAACAGTCCCATCAATCCCACCATATGGCATCCCCATTCCTGTCTGACCTCCCGCGGCCTCTGTCTTCCATCACACCTCCCAGCGGGTAAACACCTCATCATCCCTGAAGCTCAGGAATTCACCAGGGAAATGAACAGGCAAACACCTTCCAGGCGAGCTGAGGGCCACATATTTTATCCTAATGTAGTCAGAGGCTCCGGTGCCTTGGCCAGGGCCAAGGTCCCAACTGACACCCAGCTCAACAAATCCCATCTCGGGAGGCCTGTCACCCACCCCAAAACTGAGTGGCAAATTCAAGATCAAGAAAAGGCAGTCTGCACCTAAGCATGGCTTCCTAATAGAGACCAGGGCAAGAGACAGTGAGTGAAAGGCAAGCTGGTTCAGGTGACAAGCTGGAAACTCGGTTTGGTCAGAGGATTTAATGTGCAGAGCAAAGGGTGATAGGGAAAAAAAAAAATCCCCCATCCTAATACAACCCATAGATTAAACTCTATTGTTGCTCCCTCTGCCTACAGATCTTTTCCTATTAAAAAAAAATAAATAAAAAAATAAGTGGGGGGAGGGACAGGGGGAGAGAAGGGGCAATTCAAAACTCCTTCACCCAGCTGGAGTGGCTCAGTGATTGAGTGTCAACCTAGGAACCAGGAGGTCACGTTTTCGATCCCAGTCAGGGCACATGCCCAGGTCGTGGGCTCAATTCCCCATGTGTGGCATGAAGGAGGCAGCCAGATCAATGATTCTCTCTCATCACTGATGTTTCTGTCTCTCTATCCTTCTCCCTTCCTCTCTGAAATCAATAAAAATATATTTAAACAACAAAAACAAAACGCCTTGGATTTCTATATGATTTGCTATCACTTGTGTAAAAGTAAAGCAGCTAAAAGAGCCATATAAGTTTAATGACATTTGTTACGCATGGTCACTGTTATGCTGACATATAAGGTCTCTCTAGAAATACACACAAGAAACTGGGAGGAAAAGAGCTGTGCTTTTCACTGCAGACCACGTTCTCAACTGGGGGCTGTTTGGCAATGTCTGGAGACGCTTGTGATTGTCACACTGGAGGGAGAGGCACCACTAAGCATCTTGGGCGTAGAGGTCAGGAATGTTGCTAACCACGCTACAATGCATAGAACGGCCCCAACAACAAAGAGACAAGGAAATATCGGGGTCCCAAATGCCAATAGCGCTGAGCACCCAGCTCTGAGCACCCGGTTTACCTCAGCTGACATCTTTATTCTTGGCAAGACCCTCACGAATGCTGGTGGACATTCTGGTGCAAACTCCTTACTTCATGGGGAACCCGTAACATGCAGTTGCTGAACTGGCTACTTTGAGGACCCTGGGCTGGAAGCCGCTAAATGTTACAAAGAAAATAAAGGGTGTGTGTGGCATTCTTTATTTTTTTAATATATTTTTATTGATTTCAGAGAGGAAGGGAGAGAGAGCGAGAAACATCAATGATGAGAGAGAATCATTGCTCGGCTGCCTCCTGCATGCCCCCTACTGGGACCAAGCCTGCAACCCGAGCATGTGCCCTTGGCCAGAATCAAACCGGGGACCCTTCAGTCCGCAGGCATGAAGTGATGGAGTGATAGAAGGCCTTGTTGAAATTTAAAAATACTTAGATAATAAAGCAACATAAAATGATGTGGCCAAGATGAGCCTGGCTTCACTCACCAGGAAAGGTGTGCAGACCCAGGTGAAGGTGCCCACGGCGGCCAGGTAGGCAGACTTTTTCAGCACCTTCAGCTCCTCCTGCCGGATGGCCAGCACCTTGTCTTTGAACGCCAGCTCCCAGGCGTAAAGCTTCAGCACTTTGATCCCGTTGAGAATTTCATTCATCAGCTTAATCCGGCTGTCCTTGCTCTTCATGTGGGCCACCTTCAGAGAGAAGCCCATCAGCCCACATCTGGGGGCTGGTCGCTTACCACTGGCCACGGCATCACACCATCCATCACTCACACACTGCCCCCCGCCCCCCCCCCCCCTTTCAAATGGCCTTCCTGAGGGTGCGAAAACACAGCCACTGCAACTTCCATGAACCCTACTCCTGACCCTGGGGCACTCCAAGGGACTCTTCTATCACTGAGGAAGAAAACCAACCCTGCTTTGGGGAATAGAAACAGGGGGAAAAGGGAACATGGTCCCACACTGCAGATTCAAATACAAGAGAGATGATGTTGGGTTCTTCCCTCTGTTGTGTTATTTTCTTTATGAATTCTCAGCCCCGATACTGGTGAAATACTGAAATGTTTCTCACACAGCTGGCACTGGTTCTGACCCCTGGGAGTCCACACCATGCAGCGGTTAAAATTGCTAAGAGCAATCTTGCACCTTCCAAGTGCCAGGCACGATTCTGGGCGTTTTACATGCATCCGGTCATTTAATGCTCACAAGAACCCCGTCACGAGTGCCACGGTCATGCCAGGGCCCCCGAAGAGGACACTGAGCACCAGGAGGGGAGAGCCACGACTGGAGCTGTTTCAGAGGTGGCTCTCAGGGAAGCCCACGTGTCATAGGCGTGAAAGGCGGCAGGGCCACAGCCCCTTCCTCCCCTCGCCTCTCCTCTCCTGCCCGTCCTGTCCCCACCTGCTGAGGCCTCATCCCCACAATCCTGGGAGTCATCTCTCCCTGGGCACCATCCGGGGGCCTGGCCCTCTCGTTTGAAACTCCACAGGCACATCCGAAACAGCCATTAGCAAGGGCAGGAAAGTAAACGCTGACCTGGCTCTGTTATGGACCATCAGGCACCAGTTCAAGAGGATGAAGTCAGACTCACACCACAGAAAAATCTCCCAGGCACAGTGTCAAATGGTGACATCAGGCCAAAATACATGTGGTCACAAGAGCACAAAAACATACTCAAACACACCAAACCTAACTATCTGATTGGATCTCTCTCTACGTGCACAGAGAGTTCCGGAAGGACTTGCTTCACCATGTTCACCGTGGGTGAAGGGGGAGGGGAGGGGACACCCCCTTTTAAACTATGCACCTTTTGTATTATTTGAACATTTTTTTTGTAACGAGTAAGCAGTCACTCTGCTACTTGGGTATTTAAGAACTTAAAAATACAAAGTATCTCAGAAACCAAAGAGCTGACCACTGTATCTAGCACAAAGTAAAGGGGGGAGAGGGCGTAGGGGTAATTTTTACTTAACTCTTTAAAATGCACACACGCACACGTGAATCAGTTCTTAGAGGCTCCAAGACATGCTTTCAGACACCGGCCCGCTGGTCCAATGATTTCGGGAGCTCGCAACATCGGCTGCCCGTTGTGACCACCCAGGAAGCTTTAAAGACGTGTGACGCCTGGCCCCACCCATATCAGGTGAATCAGAATCCCTGGACGGGGGCCCGGACACCAGCATTTGTTAAAACTCCTCCTCCGGGGATCCCAACAGCAGGCAAGGCTGAGAATCCCACATCCGGAGCAGAAGAAACTCGGCCAGAACCCACGTAGAAAGGCCCCAGGCAGGGGCCCAGGCTGGAGCGTGGGGGAGACGGACACCCTACCTGGTAGGTCTTGGTCTTCATGGCCATCACGGCGTTCAGGGGCACCATGAGGATCATCACAGCCACGCCGGCCAGCACGGAGGGGCCCAGGTTCTGGGGAAGGAAAGAGGACGAAGGTTCATACAGGCTTCCCGGGCTGAGCCACCACTCTGACTCTGCCAGGAGGTTCGAGGCGCTTCCACTGCTTTTACCCAATTTTCAGATTTAATCCTGAGCACCTCAGCCCCTTTAAGAAGATGCAGGTCGCCCCAGCCAGTTTGGCTCAGTGGATAGAGTGTTGGCCTGCAGACTGAAGGGTCCTGGGTGCAATTCTGGTCAGGGGCACATGCCCAGGTTGCAGGCTTGATCCCCAGTAGGAGGCCTGTAGGAGGCAGGCAATCAATGATTCCCTCTCATCATTGATGTTTCTCTCTCTCTCCCTCTCCCTTTTTAATGTATATTTAAAAGAACATGCAGGGCTGAGACCAGTTTGGCTCAGTGGATAGAGCGTCGGCCTGTGGACTGAAAGGTCCCAGGTTTGCTTCTGGTCAAGGGCATGTATGTTGGTCGCGGGCACATCCCCAGTAGGGGGTGTGCAAGAGGCAGCTGGTCGATGATTCTCTCTCATCGATGTTTCTAACTCTCTCTCCCTCTCTCTTCCTCTCTGTAAAAAAATCAATAAAATATATTAAAAAAAAAAAAAAAAAGAACATGCAGGGCCATGATCCTTTATCAGAACCCTTTTGACCAGAAGTAATAAGGTGTTGAGCAAAAAACAGCTACCACAGCCAGCCCGAGGGGTATTCTTATTTGAATGTCCACCTACAAATCTGGCCCTCGGCTGGCTTCTGGGAGCTCGGATTTGGGGAAAGCTCCTATCATTCTCAGAACTGATACAAGTGTCCTCCTGTGCCTAAACTGTTTATACAAACAATGTGGTGTGTGGTGTGTGATGAATACCCCTTTTCCTGCTGGAATCTGGGAGTTTGGTAAGTGCCAGGTAGAGGCTTACTATGTGACCAACCCCCTAATAAAAATCCTGGGCTCCAGGTCTCTACTGAGCTTCCCTGGCTGGCCACGTTCCCCCAACGCCACACCTGGTGGCTGGGGAATCAAGGGCATCCTGTGTGTCACCGCTGAGAGGATTCTTGGAAACCTGTGTCTGGCTTCCCCCAAAACTTCAACCCCTTCCCTCGGCCTGCTGCAATGAATTCTAGCCCCGAGTCCTCCTAGTAAGTCATCGGCCTGGCATGCTCGCGAGGACCCCTGACACAGGTGTGTGTGCCCTTCTATGCATCCACCCACCAGGGCCCGGCCCAGCACTCCATGAGCAAAGGCAGCGGTTCTTCAGCAGCCAAACAGGAATGTTCACAGCGAGAGACATAACCCGGGTCACCAAGAGTTCGCGTCAGGTCAGGTCAGGTCAGGCTTTGTCACCAAAGGAATTAAGGGAAACTTTGGGATTTCAGAGCTGTCTGGCTGGGATCTGTAGATAAGAGGCTGTAGATTTTTTTTCTCTCTCGTTCCATTGCAAACAAGGAAACGACTGTCTCAGAGAGGTCAAGAAGAGCAAGCCATATAGATCGGTATCTGTCAGCTTCCACAAATACAGGCGACAGCTTGAGAAGCTAGCCCAGGGTGCATTTACTCAGCTGGAGCGAACAGAGGGAATTCGAGGGTCATGTGACTCCCCCACCTTCGGCATTCAGAAAAACAGGAGCGTTAGTCCCTTCCAAGCAGTCACCTGCAAGGGCTCTGGGCCTAGTTCCAAAAAAAATATTACTGCTGATCCAAGTGAAGGTTAATCTACCTTTGAGAACAAAGGTGATTTCTACCAACAATCAAAAGCATTCGGAATCCTGACAGTAGCTAAAAGAGACAGAGAACGTCTGTGTACCACGCACTGTTCCATAAGCATGAGCTGCATTAATGCATTACCTGGTCCCAATACCCCGATGATGAGAGGTACCGTTATCATCACAATCTACAGAAGGGGACACTGAGGCTTAGAGACGCTAAGTGACTACGTCACAGAGCCAGTAATGGGAGAAGCAGGATTTGAACCCAGGCAGTCTGATTCCAGAGCTTGCACTGTTTTTGATGGTCAAATAGAGAAATCCTATTTTTGGTCTTAAGCCAGTGATCCCCAGCCACATAGGACTTTCCACTCTCAGGGTACATCTGGCAATGCCTAGAGACATTTAGGTTGTCCTTACTGGGGACGGAGAGGAGAGCTGTGTTATTGCTGTCAGTGGGTAGAAGCCAGGGATGCTGCTAAAACATCCTACAATGAAGAATGCAAGCCCCGCAATAGAGAATTGTCTGGCAATAACACATTCAGCATCCCTCGTTGAAAACAAAGTAATTTTCTTCATAGTTGATAAACCAACCCAAAAAGCAAGTCTAAAAGTATTTTTAAAGTATTTTATCCACAGCAGCACCGTCTGGGGAAGTGGATACACTCTCTGGGAAAGCGGATGTGGGAAAAGACATTAATTTTGACATCTAAATAGTGGTATTTATCTCCCAAGTTTCATTAACAGAAACAATTTATAATCATCTGCTGTCCGCTCTATAAATACACAAAAAGTGGAAAACACAGCTAGATCAACAGGTAATTTTGTGCACCTCTTATGCTCCTGTTGGAACTATACCCACAGGATATGAAAACAAGACCCTGTGAGTCCATGAGTAGCAAAATGCCCCTGACAGCGGAAGGGGTGGTACACTGAGTGTGCAAAAACTATTCTTCTATAAGGTAAAATCAGATGAGTTTCTATACTTAAGCTATTGGGGTTCAATAAAGGAGTAAGTCCATCTAACTGAGAAGGAAAAAAACATCAGTGGCATTTGTCACAGCCTTGAGGGATGGGCGGGATTACATCCTTAGGGAGGAAAGATGGAAGGGCATTCCTACTGGAAGGAGAGACACACGCAAAGGCTCAGAAGGGAGAAAGAATAAGTCGTGTGTCAGAATATGAGCATCTTTGCTCCTTATCTTTTGATTTTGGGAACTGTTCTTTGTCTTGTAGAAGGGCTGTCAATCATACCTACTCCCCTTTCACAGTGAGAGAGAGAGAGCTTGTGATCCAGATGGCCAATCAGAGAACTTCGCCTCCTGCCTCACAGTGATTGGTTCAGGGATATGAATGGCACTGTGCCAGGCCAATCAGATGCTCCCTGGAACTCTAGCTAAGGAAAAGAGGAATGCTTTTTCTCTGACACCACTACCTGTAAAAATGACACAAGCCCACAGTATAAAAGCCATTTAGGGAAATTCCATTGAAAATACAGTCAACTCAGAGGGAAAGGGGGCCAAAAAATGACTGGAGAGTAAAACTGAATCCTTACAGTATTCCTTGAATTCCTAGATCCATCCATGCCTGAAGTCCCTGGACTTTTCAGTTTACATGCATGCACCCACAAAATTCCTCTATTTGTCTATGCTATTTAAAATGGATTTCTTTTCTTTTTAAGAAAGTATGCTCAGATGTTACAATTATGCCTGATGCGATCCTATCCACCTCAAACACAAAATTGCATCAAGAGAGCTCCAAGAAATGTGATGGCAAAATGTATTGCTGGCCACACAGGGGTCTCTCTAATCACGTTATTTCTCAGCAGACATTGGTAGTGCACTCTAGGACAAATTCTGTGGATGTAGTGCCTTCTTTCTTTTCCCTGCCACTTTCCTCAACTACTTTTTTTCCCCTTTTATTCCCATCTGTCCATAACCCTCCCCTTTGGCAATTGTCAGGTTGGTAGCTGTGTCTATGGGTCTGTTTCTATTTTGTTTTGTTTATTCATTTGTTCTGCTATTTTAAATTCCACATATAAGTGAAATTATAATATTTATCTTTTCCGTCTGACTTATTTCCATTAGCACAATACCCTCAAAGTCTATCCATTATGCTGCAAAAGACAAGATTTCATTCTTTTTTATTGCTGAGTAATGTTTCATTCTGTGTCCATTCATATGTGGGTAGACATTTAGGTTGCTTCTATATCTTGATTATTATTAGTAATGCTACAATGAACACAGGGCTGCACATACCTTTTCAAATTAGTGTTTTTGTTTTCTTTGGATAAATACCCAGAAGTGGAACTGCTGATTCATACGGTAGTTCTATTTTTATTTTCCTGGAATTTCCATTCTGTTTTCCTTGGTGGCTGCAGCTATTTACAACAATACCAACAGTGCACCGGGCTTCCCTCCCCACACCCTCACCAGCACTTGTTATTTGTCCATTTATTAATGACTGGTGGCCCAGTGCACACAATTCGTGCAGTGGTCCCTCTCCAATCTGGGACCCCTCGAAGGATGTCCTACTACCAGTTTATAGGGATCAGGCCTAAACTGGCAGTCAGACATCCCTCTCGTAATCCAGGACTGCTGGCTCCTAACCACTCACCCGCCTGCCTGCCTGATTGCCCCTAATCACTTTGCCTGTCAACCTGCTCACGCCCAACTGCCCCCCATGCTGGCCTGCTCACCCCCAACTGCTGCCCCTGCCAGCCTGCTCACTCCCAACTGTCCCCTCTGCCGGCCTGCTCACCCTCAACTGCCCCCACTGATGGCCTGCTCCCCCCCAATTGCCTCTGCTGGTCTGCTCACCCCTAATTGCCCCTCCCACCGGCCTGATAACTCCCAATGTCCCCCCCACCGGACTGCTCACCCACAACTGCCCTCCCCTCTTGGCCTCTAACCTCCTTTACCTTGGCCCCGCCACTATGGCTTTGTCTAGAAGAATGTCTCTTGGAAGGTCTCCCGGTCTAATTAGCATATTACCCTTTTATTAGTATAGATAGAGGCCTGGTGCACGGGTGGGGGCCAGCTGGTTTGCCCTGAAGGGTATCTCAGATCAGGATGGAGCTTCCCTTGGGGCATGGCGCAGCCTGGACGAGGGGCCTGTGGTAGTTTGCAGGTCGGCCACAGCCCCATGGGGTGAGGGTCCCTGCTGGGGGGGTGGCTAGCCTGGGTGAGGAGCTGAGGGGTGTTTTCAAGCTGGTCATATCCCCTTCAAGGTGGGGGTTCCCACTGGGGTGCCTGGTCAAAGGGCTGATGGCTGTTTATAAGCTGACCATGCCTCTCAGCTGGGACCCTCACCCCATGGGGGCATGGTCAGCCTGGGTAAGGGGCTGAGGGCCATTTTCAGGCTGGCCACACCCTCTGGTGACCCAGGCTCCCAGCCCCTCCTTGAGCAGAGGCCAGGGCGAGTTGGAAGCTTGGCTTCCTCCATCGCTGGGAGAAACCCAAGCCTCCTGCTTGCTCCAGCTCCGTGGCCGCCACCATCTTAGGTTAATTTGCATACTCACTCCTGATTGGCTGGTGGGTGGGGCAAAATGGTCAATTTGCATATTCCTCTCTTTTTAGTATAAATAGATATTCTAACATTGTGAGGGGATATCTTATTGTGAATTTAATTTGCATTTCTCTGGTGATTAGCGATGTTGAGGGTCTTTTGACAGGTCTGTTGACTATATATCCTCTTTGAAGAAATATCTATTCAGGTCCTTTGTCCAATTCTCAGTTGGACTGTTCTTTTTGGTACTAAGTTCTATACATTTCCCCATATAATTAGGATAGTAACCCCTTATCGGATGTGTATCATTTGCAAATATCTTCTCCCATTTAGTAGGTTGGTTGTCTTTTTGTTTTGATTTGCTTCATTGTGCAAAAACATTTTAGCTTGATATAGTTCCTTTACTTATTATTTATTTATTCTTTTGTTGCCCTTGACTGAGATGACACATCCAAAAGATATTGCTTTCTTTTCATTTCTATTTGCATAAAATATATTTTTGCATCCCACCACGTTCAGTTTGTATGTTTTCTTCGATCTGAAGTGAATCTCTTATAGGCAGCACATACATGGGGTATGTTTTTAATCCTCTCAGCCACCCTATATCTTTTCATTGGAGCACTTAATCCATTTGTATTTAAAGTAGTTCTTAGTATGTTTATTGTCATTTTGCTCATTGTTCTCAGGTTGTTTTATAGATGTCTTCTATATATGTTTTCCTCTCTTGATCTCTTTCCTTGTGGTTTACTATTATTCTGTAGAGTTCCTATCTCTTTGTTCTTCGTGTATCTTTTGTAGTTTTCTGGTTTGTGGTTACATGAGTCTTATGTACAGGGTGGAACAAAAATAGGTTTATAATTATGAGTATGCAAAACACAGTTTATTCTTATATTATTTACTAGAGGCCTGTTGCACGAAGATTCCTGCAAGGATAGGACTTCCTTCCCCTGGCTTTGCTCCCACCCACCCAGGAGCCTGCAAGTCCTTACTCCCGGCAGAGTGCTACTTCCCCTCTCATAGCAGGCATCCTGCCCTGCCCAGCCGCTTAAAATTGACCCATCTTTGCATACTCACTCCTGATTGGCTTATGGGTGTTGCAAGGTATGGTCAATTTGCATATTTCTCTTTTATTAATGTAGATTATTTGTGTTATTTTCCATATGCACAACTGTAAGCTACTTTTATCCCAAACTGTATTTCATTCTTTATCTATAGCAGTCTATTTTAAGAAATTCGTGTTTGAATGTATTTTGTAAGGACTACATTTAATCCCCTTCCATACTTATGTTACTAATGTTATGTTTTAGATCTTTTTCTAATGTGTTATCTGCTACTATGTATTGTTCAAATCTGGTACTTTTGACCATCCTAGTAGGCTTTCAAATGTCTGATTAGCTATATTTATTAAATATTTGGCTTTACCTGTGATATTTTTTTTCTTTCTGTTCTCATCTTTCCTTATTTCTGGTTATGACCTTTTCTTCTCTGCTTAAAGAAGACCCTTTAACATTTCTTGCAAAGCTAGCTTTTTGGGTGATGAACTCATTTAGTTTTTGTTTGTCTGGTAAACTATCTTTTTTCAATTCTGAATGATAATCTTTCTGGAGAAATTATTCTACGTTGCAGGTTCTTTTCAGCACTTTCAAGATGTCCTGCCACTCCCTTCTGACATGTAAATTTGCTGATAGCATCACGGGGTTTCCTTTATACATAACTCATTTTCCTCTCGCTGCCTTCAAGATCATATCATCTTTAATTTGTAATATATCTTGGTTTCTTTGGGTTCATCTTATTTGGAACTCTCTATACTTTCTGGACCTGAACGTCTGTTTCCTTTCTCAGATTTGGAAAGTTTTCAGCCATTATGTCTTCAAATAGGTTTTCTGTACCTTTCTTTCTCTTCTCCTTCTGGGAACCCTTATGATATGAATGTTAGTGTGCATGACGTTATTCCAGATGTCCCTAAGATTATCCTCATTTTAAAAAAAATTCTTTTTGCTGTTCTGATTGATTTCAACTAGTCTATCTTCTAGGTCACTGATCCATTCTTCTGTGTTAGCTAATCTACTGTTGATTCCTTCTAACGTATTTTTCATTGCAGTTACTGTATTCTTTGGGTCTGCTTTGTTCGTTCTTACACTGTCTCTTTGTTGTTATCCCAAAGTTCCTCTATTGTTCTCCCAAATTTGGTGAGCATCCTTATGACCGTTTAATTCTTAATCAGACAAATTACTTATCTCCATTTCCTTAGGGTTTTTTTTTCTGGGGATTTTTCTTATTTATTCACTTCACAGAGATTCTGCTGTCTTTTCATTTTGTTTGATTTTCTATGTTTGTTTATATAAATTAGACAAAACAGCTACCTCTCCCAGTCTTGGAAAAGCAGCCTAATGGAAAAGCAGCCTCTGTAGGCTGCCAGGTGGTTTTGGCAGGATGATAGGAGCTGAACAGGTGCCTGAGGTGTCCAAATTGCTGGCCTCCCGCACTGGAGTGGTTCCAAGTGGGGAGGCCACATTGTGCAGCATCGCCCTGTGGATTCTATTCTGCTTGCTCCCTTTGCTCGCAGCAAAAATGGGCTCAGGCGGTGTGCGTCCGGAAACACATGGCAGCAGTCTTGCAGGTAGGCCAGAGCATCTGAGTAGAGCCCCCACCCACCCTATGGAGACAGAGGGGGGCATAAACAATGACCTGCAGTCCCAGGAGAGCCCTCGCAGCTCTCCGGCTTTCTCTGCATGTCTCTCTCTCGTCTGTTATGCAGAGAGTGGTCTTGTATAAAAGTGGCCTCTTTGCAGGCTCCTCTGCTGGGTTGTTCAGGGAATCCAGCTGGATACAGGCAGGCACTTGGCTCCTGCGGCACTGGTCGGTGTGGCTGGAGTGGTTCCTGGCCTTCCTGCCAGGTGCCAGCGGGGACACCTGTTGTTCCCGCTTGCTCCCTTGTGGCTCTGGGGGATGTAGCTGTCAACTGCGGGGTGATCTCGCAGATAGGCCAACGCCCAGATCAGAGCTCCACCAGCCACATGGACGCGGACTGGAATGTAAACAATGGCACCACCCGCTGCTCCAGATCGGAGTCCCCGCAGGGCTTCCCTAGCTTCCCGGCCAACTCTGTTGTCTCCTTACTGTGTTGTTCAGGAACTGCTCATTGTCCACACACCTATATATCTGAGTTTGCTCCTGGGAGAGGGGAGTTCAGCATCCTTCCCTGATTCCATCTGGTATATTCCTACCCCTTGCAGCCAAGAGATGTTATCTTGACCGACATAATTCAGGGCTAGTGAGTAAATGTTAGGCTGGTGTTTGGGAGAACACAGTGGCAGAAATACGGTGTGTATGTCGCAGGCTATGTTAATTACACATATTCTCAAGAAAAGATGAATGCAAATACTATGCCCAGAAGCCAAAGAGAACATAACCCAACAACGGAGGAAAGGAATAAAACATCCAGGAATTGCCTGGTGGTCAGAACATAGAATGTAAATGAAGGGCAAGAACTACCAGTGAGCTATAGAAGTTCTGTCAACACCCACTCCCTCACCCCCACCGCCCACACACAGAGGTCCCTCCCACAGGACAGACACCCACATCGAACACACACCAGCCACAGAAAGTAGAGCGCAAAGATGACTTGCAGAGGGGCTGACCAGATCATGTTAATGTACGTGGTCAGGTCCATTAACCTCTGGGCGTCCACCGACATGAGGTTGACGATCTCCCCGACCGTGGAGGACTTCCTGGCGGAATTGGTGATCAGCAGGGCCTGTGGGACAAAGGAGAGGGGAAGGGTGAGCGTGGCCGGTGAAGAGCCTGCGCTCTGCCTCCAGGCCCTTGTGAAGGACGAGGCTGCTCCCGAGTGGAAAGGACACTGCTCCTTCCTCCTCTCCTGCTGACTTACCTGCCTCCCCGGCTCGTCTGTCTCAGCACAAAGCCTTCACACTGCCGATGCACTCACTGCCTCCCCATCTGGAGGCCGTGGAAGGGACCTCAGAAGTTGCCTAAACCTGGACTTTGCATTCTTTTTCGTGTACATATGCCGTACACGGGAAGTTTATTACCCCAGAGGCTCTGATTCGGCAGGACTGGGACAAGACCCGAGACTCTGCATTTCTAACGGGCTCCCAGATGATGCTGGCTCCGCTCGTCCCCAAACACACTGAGGGACCAAGGTCTAGGCCAGGGTTCCTCAATGTTGGCATTCCAGACATTCGAGGCTGGGTCATGCTTGGTGAGCTGTCCTGTTCAGCAGCATCCCCGGCCTCTCCCCACCAGGTGCCCGCACCCCAAGGTATGACAACTGAAAACATCTCCAGACATGGACAAACATCACCAGGAGGGACAAAGCACCCTGGTTTTCGGACGTGACATCCCACTATGATCTGGGACTTTTAGAGATAATGATGCCTGGGTGCGACCTAAGGGATCCTGATTTGATGTCTCGGGGTGCAACAGGTCTGGCATCAGGAGTTTTTGAAGCTCTCTAAGCGAGTCTGACCTGCAGACAGGGCTGGGAACTAACGAGCTAGTCTGATCTTCTGTTCTGCTAGACAGTCTCTTCTCAGCCCATGGGGCCCAGGCAGTGTCCTTGTCCCAGAGGCTAAGGAGAGGGTGACCAAGAAGGCAAGCCAGCTCCGTTAGAGCCTGCTAAGTACCCTGTCACCCAGGGGAGGGGCCGTGTGCTCAGTCCAATGGAGAGTGAGAACAAGTTCAAACACAGACCAGGACTAGCAGAGCTAGGATTTGAACTTGGATTTCCTCAAATCAAGTACCACCAGAGAAATTCCGTCTCCCATGACTCCTAAAGGCTCCCCGGTGAATCGGCTTTGCTGAGGCCTACTCAGAACTGCCAACCTGGGCTGTCCGCAGTCACCGAGGCCACCCCAGAGCCACTGCTCCAGGAGCTGGGCCCGCAATCCCCAGGGTGGCCTCCGAGGACCCAGCCAAGTCCTGACAGATTCTGGGGCCACAGCAGATGTCAAAGTCGGTCCCCCGCGCTCACGACCTGGCCTCACCCACCTTCCGGTAGACGGCACCGATAACGGCGGTCTTGACCCTCATGCCGCTGACGAAGCAGATGTGGAAGTACTGGTGCAGCATGAGGGTCTGGAAGCAGGCGCTGAGGAACAGGACCGCCGTGTAGAAGTAGCCCTGCCAGGCCGGGGCCTCCTTGTCGTTCACAAAGTTGATGAGCAACCTGCAAAGGAGCAAGGACAGAGCCCAGAATGACACGCACGAACGGGGGTGAACGTCCTTCAGCTTCAGCATTTTGATTTCCCCCCAAGCTGGGTGAGGCGAGCGTTAGCACTTCAATTTTATAGACTGAAAACCAACCCATGGCGGTGATCTGACTGGGCAGCAGCTCATGTGTGACAGGGTGCCGCAGGCTTCTTGCACGGACTTCTCTAGCTCATCGCCTGCAAGTCACCCGCAGAGAGAGAGAGCAAAAGGGGCGAGAGCAGGGAGGGCTAGGGAACAAATGTGTGGCCCCAAAGAAACAGGGAGAGAGGGAGAAAGGGAAGAGAGAACAGGAGGATAGGAGGAAAGGGGGAGAGGGGGAGAAGGGGGAAGAGAGAGAGAGAGAGATGGGAGGGGTAAACGCAGATCAGAGAGATGGAGGGGTAAACACAGAGCAGAGAGAGGTGACCTCCTTTCTGACTCTCTGGTGTGAGATGCAGTTTTCACGGGATTTGGCACTCTTCGCTGCCCAAGACAGCCTTCTCTCTCTCTCCCCCCTTTTTGGCTTCAGGGGAACCTAGTAAGTGGTTTCTGTTACTTGCAATCAGAGTGGCCTTAATTAAGATGTTATTGAAGAAAAGCACTACGCCAAGCAGGTAGACGAAGAGACGGGGCTGAAAAAGCCCCCCTGGAGCGTGCCCCCTGACCCTAAGGTGCCCCCTGACCCTAAGGGAGCATTAGGAGGATACGCAGAGTCGCTCAGCTGGGAAGGAAGGGGTCTTACCTCAAGATCTCCGGGCCGATGAACATCATGAGGTCGTGCAGGGCCTTGTAGAGGAAGCTCATGAGGAAGTAGGGCCCGAAGGTCTTGTGCAGCACCTTGAACAGGGACGGCTCCCGCGCCTTCTGGGGGCCCCTGACAATCAGCGCCTCCGCCTCCTCGCTCACATCCACCCTGGAGCCCCCTTTGGGCTTGGCGGGGTCCTTGGAGGGATCCTTGGAGGAGTACACGATCCTCACTGGCTGCCTGGAACAAAGGGAGCGTGGGGCCCTGGGGGCTCGGCCTCTGGCAGAGCCCACCGGCGAACCCGTCTTCGGGAGGCTCAGCCGGAGAACCCCCGTCATCGCAGAGGCAGCTTATTAGCGCGGCGGCAATGAACTTGAGCTCAGGATCCTGGCTCAGCCACTGGCCAGCTGTGTGACTGAGGCAAATCCTTAGTTTCCTCGTCCGTAAAACGCAGATTACAGTAGGACCTACCTCCTGGGGCTGTTGCGAGAATGAAGCGAGTTAACATGCGTGAAGGGCACAGCACAGTGCCAGCCCCAAACCGGTCTACAGATCCAGTGCAATCGCTGTCAGAATCCCAGCTGGCTCCTCTGGAGAAAGTGGCAAGCTAATGCCAACATGTGTGTGGAATCTCAGGGGACCCAGAAGAGCCAAAACAACCTTGAAATGGGTTAGAGACCTAAACACAGAGCTAACGCTATAGAAATCTTAGAAGGCAACAGAGGGATCAATTTTCATGGCTTTGGATTTAACCTGTTTTTCCGAAAATAAGACAGTGTCTTATATTAATTTTTGCTCCCAAAGATGCGCTAGGTCTTATTTTCAGGGGATGTCTTATTTTTCCATGAAGAAGAATACGGTACACATTTATTGTTAAATGAAAATAAAGGAAATTTATTACCTCTATACGATACGGTAGTACGGTAGTTGTCAACACAAACCAGACAAACTGTGAATCCTACAGTATCAAGAATTTACTCATTTATTCAATGACAATCATGTCATCATCTTCTGGAACATCATCATAACAATCCAATTCCTGAATTTCCTGGTGAATTTCTTGTGACTCCATTTCTTTCAGAATCAGTGGACCAAATCTCTCATGTTTAGCCTAGGGAGGGCCTTATTTTCGGGGGAATGCCTTATATTTCACTCAGAAGGAAATCTGTAAATAGGTGTTATTTTCGGAGGATGTCTTAATTTTGGGGAAACAGGGTAGTAATGGATTCTTAGATATAAACACCAAAAGCACACGCCACAAAAGAAAAAATGAACTGAACTTCATAAAAATAAAAAACGATAGTACTTCAAAAGATACGACCAAGAAAGTGAATCCTCACAGTCCTTGAGAAGATTTCATTGGGTGTGTGTGTGTGTGTGTATGTGTGTGAAAAGACAACCCATAGAATAGGAGAAAATATTTACAAATCAAAAATCTGATAAAGGTCCTGGCCAGGTGCTCAGTGGTTAGTGCATAGGCATGTGCAGACTGAAGGGTCGCAGGTTTGATTCTGGTCAAGGGCATATACCTTGGTTGCAGGTTTCCCAGCCCCAGTAGAGGTGTGTGTGGGAGGCAACCAAATGATATATCTCTTTCGTGTTGATGTTTCTCTGTCTCCACCCCCAACCCCCTTCCTCCCTTCCAATATCTGAAAATCAATGGAATAATATCCTGGACCTCCACTCAATCTCCTACATCTAATCAGGCCTGTGTCCTGTCCGTTCCATAGCTGGGATGTATGTAGTCGGGTGAGGATTTTTTTTAAAGTCTGATAAAGTACTTGTAACTACAGCACATGACGAATTCTTCCAACTCACTAAGAAAACGACAACCCAGTTTTTTAAAGGGGGCAAAGAGCATATGCAAATCGCCAGTGAGCATATGAAATGTTGCCTAACATCAGTGGTCACTAGGGAAATGCAACCCCAAACCGCCATGAGATATTACTTCATAGCCATGAGGATGGCTGTCATGAGAAGGTCAGATAAAACAGCGTCTGCAAGGATGTGCAAAAATCGGAACCTTCACACACGCCCCTGTGAAGTCCTCTCTCATTCGGAATAGGACACTGCAGAAACGGTGGAGCATCATGTGTAAGATTGGGCCATAGGGCACGCTGTCATCTCTTAGGCCACCCACTCTGGGCAAAGCCAACCGCCATGTTGCAAGGGCACTCAATGGCCCTCTGGAAAGACCCCTGTGTGAGACCTCGCCAGCAGCCAGCCCTAACCTGCCAGCCATGGGCAGCCTGGAGCAGATCCTGTAGCACTGGGTGCTGACTATACCCTCATGAGAGACCCTGAGACAGAACCACCCAGTGGGCGGCTCCTGGACCCCTGACTCAGTGAAGGGACGCTGTTCTTTCAGCAGCTGGGTTTGGGGTCATTAGCTCTGCAGCAGCAGACATACCCCCTCGCTCCCATCTACCAAAATGCAGTGAGAACATCCTCAAATGGCTGAGCCTGGACTCCAAGCTTCATCCCCACCCAACCCTCACATTTACAACTTACAAACTTCTAACACAACATGAGTTCACCGAATAGCATTTGATTTTAGGGGACTGTTTTTTTCTTTACTTTTCTGATTTTTTTTTTTCTTCTTTTTTTTTTTTTTTTTTTTTAGTCTTTATTGTTGAAAGTATTATATCCCCTTTTTCCCTCCCCTGGACCCCTTCTAGTCCAACCCCACCCCCTGCCCCAGGCCTTCACCACCCTATTGTTGGTGTCCATGGGTTATGCACATATGCACACAAGTTCTTGGCTTGATCTCTTCATGTCAGGGGACACTTGTCACTTCTATGTCACCTCTCTGCCGCATCTGCCCATCTGGCCCATGAGAAACTGGCCCCTGGAGACCACAGACTTCCCACCTGCCTTGGCCGTGTCCCACTCCAAACTGGGGCCCCAGTCTAGGCCCTGTCAAGTCCTAGTCTTTCTCCTCTGTGCTCCCTGCCCCGGAAATGGACCCGAAACATGGGACTCAACCCAGACCCCAACCCCCAGTCTTCTAGATCTGATCAGACCTGTGTCCTTTCGTTCCACATATGGGATGTATGAAGTCATCTGTCCACTCCTCCCATCTCCACAGCCTCCACCCGAGCAAGTGACCACTGCCGGGACCGCCTTGCCACTCCTCATTCCCACCCCGTTCTTGTTCCCTTACAATCAGCTCCCTGGACAGCAGCCAGTGGGACCGTCCTAAAAACTCATCGTCCTCCTCTTCCAACCCCACTGACACCTTTCCCCTGCACCCAGAGCAAAATGGAAGCTCTGTGTGAGGCTGCACAACTTCCTGTGGCTGCCGTAACAAGCTGCCACCGAGGAGGCTCCAAACAGCACAGATTTGTCATCTCGTCGGAGGCCTACGTGGGCACACAGGGCTGCGTTGCCCTGGAGGCTCTCGGCAGAACCAGCTTCCCCGATAGTCCAGCTCCTAAAAACTGCCTCCAGTCCCAGCTCGAAGCCCCTTCCTCCGCCTTCAAAACCAGCGGCATAGCACCCCCCCACTTCCTCTCCCTCTGACCTCCTGTCTCCCTCTTATAAGGACACGGGGTTATTGGGCCCACGCAATACACAACAGCCTCCCCATTTCAAAATCCCCGGCTCAATCCCACCCGCCAAGTCTCTCTGCAAGGGGAGGTGGCATAGTCACGGGTTCTGGGGGTCAGGATGTAGGCATCTTTGGGGAAGAGGGACGTGATTCCACGGACCACAGACGATTATTTGTGTTCTGTGCTGTCCGTGTCACCACGTAAGGTCCTCCCCTGCCCACTTTACCGACGTTCTCCGGTTTCTGGCTGGGTTTGGTATTTCTCTCGGCACACACACGCCTTCTTGGCAAGGAGAAGGCGGCCAGCAGAGAGGAAGGAGTGGCCCAGCCCTCCCCCGTGCATTCTCTGCACCACTTCCCAAGCGGGGCCCTGGCCCTGGGCCTGCGTGGCCTGGCTAACCCAGGGCTGTTTTCCGTGGCTGGGAGACGGGCTGCCAACGGAATAGGATAAGGTTTGGGCAGGCAGGAAGGCGGCGGCTCAGGCCTGGGGGAGGAGGTCAAGAATGGTGGAAAGGATCAGCTAAGGCCGGGTCAGGGGAAAAACACACAGTGACAAGAGGCCTGTGAGGAAGGCACTCCGGGAAGGGGGAAGCGAGCAGGAGGGGAATGGATAGCTAAAGGGGAAGGTCTGAACAGGGAGAAACTGCCTGGAACAGGGGAACAGAAACAGGTGAGGAAGCTGGAAACTGGAAGAAAAAGGGACCTGCAGACTCGAAAGGATTTCGACGTCACTCATCTATGAATGGACTGAACACATACCCTGGGCCGGAGGGAGGGAGGCATGTGTTCAGTCCATTCATAGATGAGTGACGTCGAGATCCTACCATCAGGAGCTCGTGAGAGAAATGGGTCTTCACAGCCCGTGGGAGCAGCACCTGCAGGCTAAGGGAGCGGCCCAGCTGGGGAGGTGAGGGGCCTCTCCCTTAGCCTGCAGGCACAGGAAACAGGTGAGCCAGGCCTGGGACTAAGGATTTTGAAAAGGGCTGGGACACCTCTTCCGGGAAGTCAGAGCCTCAAGATAGCCAGAGGGTGGGAGAGCAGGCTGGAAGGGCCTTGGACCCAACAGGCAGCAGTGAGGAGATGAATATTCTATTGAGATCTTCCCCGGGACCTCCCCTAAAATCTCGACCTTAAAACCCTTAGGAGAGAGCACCCAGGAGCATGCCCGTGCCTTTTTCCTCCCCGTCTCCCTCTTCTCCATCGCTGCACGCGCACCCCCTCCCCCCCGATGTGTGTCACCTTTACCTTCCTCACATCTAAGCTCCAAGGGTCCTTCCTTTATCTCTATAACTTGTTTTCTGCACTCAATTCTGCTACCTCTATGATTTTCCAAATAAATGTTCTCTGATAGTTTGAGGCTTGACTCTGAATTATTTCCTAACCAGACCTCAAGAACTGAGGCTGCGGAACCCAGGTCTGGTCTGACTCCCCGTGTCAATACTTGGCTATACATCAAGGCCTCCAGGATCCAGACCAGCTGTCATCTAGAGCAGTGGCCGCCAACTGGTGGTCCGTGAAGTCCAAAAGGTTGGCAACCGCCGATCTAGACAATTCCAATCCAGAGGCTAAGAGAGAAGACTGACCCTTCTCAAGAATGTACCGTTTACTATCAGGACTCTTAGCTTTTCTTGCTTCTTGAAAGCAGGGTCCTTAAGACTTTTATAAATTAAGTTTTAAACCCTAGCACTAGAAATCCTCTCTCGAATTTCTTCTCTGTACCCCTCAGAGACCCAGCCTCCCTCCCCCGTTATCAGCAACCGCTGACACAGCAGAAGACAGTAGCCCAAACCTGACTAAGGATCACAAGGCCCGACCCGCTGGCAGGCTAAAGATAACATCCTGCTGGGCCTCAGCTGTGTTTCAGCTCCCCTGGCTACCTTCCCGGCAGACAGACCGAGGGACTCAGGAGCAGACCTCAGGACTGTCCTCAAGGCTGAAGGAATGATTTGTTATCCTTACCTCCCCTTGGACCGACCAGCCCCCAGCAGGACCCCACGCCCCCTAACCTGTGATGTCTTGTGATTCTGCCCTCTATAATCTGGTGTCAAGCATTAGCTTCCCATCTGGCCAAGTCAGTATTCAACTATTTTTCTTTCTACACGGAGAACTCCTGCTCATGCCTTTCTTTGGACCAGTGTGTGCAGGCCGACGGACTCAGAAACACTGGGGTCCCGGTAACACACTCTTGGGTATTGCCTAGCTGTGCTCCTGGTTTGCAGATCCTAAAAGCGTTAAGTAAATCTTTATCATTTACTTCTAACCAAAGCCTCCAGACTCTTTTTGAGTTCGTTTGACAAATCCAGTAAAGGAACTCAAGATTACAAAATCTTTGTCTTCAAGAGGATGATGACGAGTCTGAAGGGTTGAGAACCACTGCTTAACATGCACATTTTGGAGAGTTTTGTTTTCTATTTCTAATTTGCTACTTGCATTCCTTTATGAGCAAGAGACAATTAAGTAAAATGGTCACTCTTTCTTTAAACACTACTACTTCTTTAATATACAGCTTTATTGGGGGTATAACTGATACATGATCACCTGCACATATTTAAAGTGTACAATGTGATGAGCTTTGACACATGTGTACACCTGTGAGTCCACCAGGAAGACCAAATAAATGACACATCCATCGTCCCCAAAGGTTCTCACCCACCTCTCTACTTATTCCCCCATCCTGGCCACCACTGATCTGATTTCTGTTACTCTACAATGGTTTCCATTTTCTATAATCCTAACATATAAAAATCCTGGGTCATAACAACTAGTAACGATTGGAGGATGACCAACCAGAAGTCAGTGCTGGCCCCGCCCCCAAGCAAGCGGTAATGGGCAATTAGGCAGGCAGGCAGAAAGGTTAGGGGCGATCAGGTAGGCAGACCAGTGGTAGCGGTGATCAGGTAGGCAGGCAGGCAGTGAGGGGTGATCAGGTAGGCAGACGGCCCCTCGTAGGGCTGGCCCTGCCCCCCCAGCAAGGACAGAGGGAGGCCCAGTTCAGCCAAGTCATTGCACCCCAGCCTGTCACCTGCTGGTGGCAGGGAAGTGGGGGCTGCACTGCACAGATGGCAAGCAGTGGCAGCAGCAGGGCCAGCTGCCTACAGCCCAGCGGATGAAAGTCCTGATAGGCCCTGAGGCCCTGATCTCAGGCCAGGCCTAGTGACCCTACCCGAGGGGTCCCAGACTATGAGACGGTGCAGGCTGGGGTGAGGGATATTTGTGCACCAGGCCTCTAGTTATATATAATGGAATCACCTAGTATGCACTCTTATCTGGCTCTGTTCACTTGGCATACTTATTTTGAGATATTTCTGTGTTGTCAAGTGTATCAAGAGGTAATTCCTTTGTATAGTTCTAATGTATTCCCTTCATGGCTACACCATGTTTTGTATGTCTGTTCCCTTGTCAGTGGATGTCTAGGTGGCTTCCAGCTTGGCCCTCGCACACAAAGCTGCTCTACGAGTCTTTTATGAACAGGTCTCCAGTTATCTTGGGTTACACACTTAGAAGGAGAATGGCTGGTGGTACAATAACTGTAACTTTTTAAAAACTGCCAAACTCATTTCCAGAGCCACTGAAGTGTTTATAGTCATGCCAGAGGAACCACAGTCCACCATGGCCTTAACCTACCGGAGGCTAAGAGTCAAAGAGAATCTCCACTCCATTTTGTTAAACTATTGGATAGAAACCAATGAAGCACTGCATTTTAAAAGGCGGGAGTGGAGTGGGGGAGAGGGGAGGAAGCGGACAGACCTGACTTTGGAGAGGAGTTACCCAAGGCTACAGAGAGGAGTGTTTGGGGCTGGGCTGTCGTGACCCACGGCCAAGAAGCCAGGCCAGACCCCCTGCCAGCTGCCACTGCCTACTCCCCAGAAGGCCTGGGAGCGGCTGAGCACACACTACACTGGTCCCCAGCTAACTAAAGAGGCCTCACTGCAAGAGGCCACACCCGAAATTCCTAGAACCCGACTCTCCTCTCACCCCCACCCCGTCTGTCCCTCCGCAAGGTTACAGGTGCTAGATCTGGCTCACGCCTCTGGGAGCAGAGTCCCCACACGAGGCAGTGAACTCCCAAGCCGAGACCCCCTAACGGCCAAGGTGCTAATGGACCCAGGGCCCCGAGGGTGGCGGCCCAACGAGCCAGTTCTCAGCAGGTCCTCCCAGGCAGGATGCAAGCGCCCAGCCCGGCGAGCAAGACGAATAAACACAGCCTGCACAGCAGTACTGTCCAGGGCTTTCTCAGGGCTTATCCAATGACAGATAACTTGTCGGGTGATGTTTATCTCGCTGAATTCTCAGAAAGCCCTCTGCCTAGGAAACAAAGGCTCCAGCGCAAAATAGGGACTCGGGCAACTCTGAGGCCCGCCAGCGTCTCCCCATCCAGAGTCTCGACACCCCCACCCCCCACCACCTCCCCAGGATCCTCACCTGCCCCAGGACAGTCCCAGGGTGGTTATAGAGCAGAACTCACCATGTGCCATAGCCCTACCTGAAACCCACCTCTTCCTTCTCCCCGCACGTGGGGCCAGACCCTAACTCCCTCCCACGGCCCGGAGACCCTGAAATATTTCTCCTGCTTTATCTCCTCCCGGTAAGGGGGGTGGGGGGGGGGGGGACACGACACTGGTCCCAGAGTGTGTCTGGCTTCCCCCGTGGCGACAGGACTCGCACTTACTTTCTGGATTTGGCACATTCCTTCTTCCAATTCTTGACCAGAACGGGCACAACTTGTTCTGACTTGTCCTCCTTGTTGAGGGACCAGAGGTCAGTGCTCTCCAGGGGCTGGCGGTAGCCCCGGACCATCAGCCTGGGGCAGGAACACAAGGAGGGAGGCGGTGAGCGTCGAGAAGAAGTGGACAACGTCCCTCACCGCACCCGCCCGCCCGCCACCACCCCCTCACGGCAGCCCCGCGCCAAAGCTGAGGGGCTGGGGCAATCTGGCTGTGGACGGGCATGTGGGCACACTGAATAATTACTGCCGAATTCTGCCAAAACCGGTTTGGCTCAGTGGATAGAGCGTCGGTCTGCAGGTTGAAAGGTCCCAGTTTCGATTCCGGTAGAGGGCATGTACCTTGGTTGCGGGCACATCCCCAGTAGGGGGTGTGCAAGAGGCAGCTGATTGATGATTCTTTCTCATAGATGTTTTCTAACTCTCTATCCCTCTCTCTTCTGTAAAAAATCAATAAACTATATTTTTTTTAAAATTATTGCTGAATTCTGTCATGCCATCCAGAAAAATGGCCTCATTTCTTAGAGACACATACAGACCATTGAGGAGGGAAAAATCAGGATGGCTCCCAAGTACATAATAAAAAAATGTTAAGGCTAAGATGGCAAAGCATTAAGAACTGTTAAATCTGGGTGGTGAGTTTGGTGAGGTTTATTGGACTAGTCTTTCTACATGTTTGAACACTCTCATAGTAAAAAGTAAACCTAATATTTTAACTTGCTGTTTTAAAAGAATTTCAAGCTTTCAGAAAACTCACATGGACTGTACAAAGAATTCCCATCTACCCTTCACCTCGTTCCCGTTTGTTGTATCATTTTCTGTCTCTATGAACACACTTGTGTGAACACATTCTTTTCTGAACCATTTCAAAGTAGGTGGCAGACTCTAAACACTGTACTCCTAAATATCAGTATGTATCCATTCCCCTAACAAAAAGGACATGTTCTTATTTAACCAGAGAACAATCATCAAACTCAGAAATACCAGCATGGCTGGCATAGCCCGCAGTCCGTATTTAAATTATACAAACTGTCGCCTGCCTGGCGAGGGTGGTTCAGTGATTGAGCATTGACCTAGGAACCAAGAGGTCAGTGGTTCGATTCCCAGTCAGGACACATGCTTGGTTATGAACTCAATCCCCAGTAGGGGGCATGCAGGAGGCAGCTGATTGGTGATGTTTCTTTCTCACTGATGTTTCTATCTCTCTCTCTAAAAGTCAATAAAAACTTATTAAAAGTGAAAATTATACTAACTGTCCCAATGGTGTTCTTTAACAATAATTTGAAAAATAATTAGGTCTGAAAAGTAATTTAAAAATTTTTTTGTGAAAAAAACTTTATAAAGACAAGAAATAATGCTGATCAGAGGGAGGGCGGGGGGGAGTAGGTTCAAAAAATCCTCAGTAAGATACTGACAATGTGGGGGAGGAATGTGCAACCCCCCTTCTCCCCCCTCCACCCCTACCCCAACACACACACACAAAGCAGAAAAAAGCTTATCAAACTGCTGACTGTGGTTGCCTTCTGGTGCTTTCTGTTGTTGATCTCTGCATGTTTCTCTTACCCACGTTTCCTACTATGTTGCATGCATACTATGTTTCGGATGGTGAAGGGTTTGAAACAATGCCAATAATAGTAATTATTCCTAATATTAAAACATACTCAAACCTAACGCTAAGACAAGAGCATGCAGCTGCCCTAGGCCAAGCCGTCCACAGAGGTCCAAGTGACTGTGGGGACAAGGCCAGTGTCTCTGAGACCCATGCCTGGGGCAGGCACACTCAGGGCGCAGCTATGCCACGCACTCCCTCTCCCCCGCCCCCAACCCCTCTCTTCCCTCCACCTGGGCAGGGGGGCCAGGCCTTACCCTGTGATCCACCAGAAGGTGATCCTGGAAAGGAAGGACGCCCCAGACTCCGGGCAAGGATTCTAGCGGAGAGAAGCACAGGGAGGCGAGGGTGAGTGATTCCACGTCTCATCTCTGGCAGCACTCGGAAGCCCACTCTTCCTCCCCGAGGGCCAGCAGCCACTCTCACGCCCCTAATTTACAGCCTGAAAGGATGCCCCTCCTGAGCCTTAAATAAATCCACGGCAGCTCTCCCAGTTTTACCCAGCAAATACCTGAGTGTCTACTAAGTGCAAAAACGGTACAGTGCCTTATCTGTATCCCCCCAGCAGCCCAATGAGCGTGGTGCCACTGCGGCCCCCACTGCACTCCATACATTCCTTCATCGGTTCCTTCATTCTCAAGTACTTTCTGAGCATCTACTGTGTGCCTAGCACCATGTACACAAATCTCAACTCACAGACACAGCCCCCTTTAGAAAGCCCCTGATACACCACGGTGGTAGTGGTAATAAGAATAACATCACCTGCTAACATTCTCCACTAGCTAGCTCTATTCTGAGCTCTTCACACAAATTATCTCATTCAATCTCCATAACCTCCTAATGAAGCAGGTAAAAAACATCAACCCGCCAAGACCGGTTTGGCTCAGTGGTGGAGCGTCAGTCTGCGGACTGAAAGGTCCGGGGTTCGATTCCGGTCAGGGGCATGTACCTTGGTTGGGGGCACATCCCCAGTAGGGGGTGTGTAAGAGGCAGCTGGTCGATGTTTCTCTCTCATCGACGTCTCTAGCTCTCTATCTCTCTTCCTTCCTCTCTGTAAAAAAAAATCAATAAAATATATTTAAAAAAATAAAATAAAATAAAAAACATCAACCCCCTTTTAAAACAGAAGACACCGAGGAGCCCAGGGGTGAAATGACTGGCCTAGGGTCCCCAGCGGGAAGTGGCAGGAACTGGATGTGAGCTCCAGTCAGGCCCCAGAGAGAGACGGTGATAAATGATCCCGTGAACAAATGCAAAACTGCAACTGCGATGGGGATCCCGCCCTAAGGGTGTGTCAGGGGGGGCACCGGGATCTTCCTGGGCTCACAGTGACTGAGAGAGCCGACAGGGGCCGGGGCCTGACCTGGAAGGAGGGCCGGGACGGGGTTCCTGAGGAAGACGAGCAAGGCGAGGTCTGAAGAGTGAGACAGGACGGTGCAGTGAGGGGGAGCGGCAAGGCGGCTCCGCACGGAGAACGGCATGGGCAAGGGCCTGGTGGTATATGGGGACAGAACCCCCTCCAGGGACTAAGAGAGGATGTGGGCAGTCTATGCTAGAGGAATTTGGGTTGTCATCCAAAGGTAGGACAGATGGACAGATTCTCAAAGAACTGCTTTCCCAAAGGCGCAGAGAGAGCTCCAGTTCAACAGCACACAGACAAGGGAAGGGACAGCAGCACGGAGCCCCCGGGGATTACACACCCGGCCGGCTTTCACTGCCGAAATGTTCAGCTCTAAATCCTCAACTACCAGCCTCAGTGAAGGGGTCGCCGTGCAGCGATGAGCTCTTCGGCTGAGGATGGTGCTCCAGGCTCCAGCATTTTTCAAAGCTGAGGCCCTGAGAGACCCCCTGGGCCCGGTAGTTTCCCATCGGGGCTGGGAGTGCTTTTAGAAAACACCATACCTGGGCCCCACCCCCCAGTGGCTCCGATGAAGCTGGTTTGGGGTGGGACCAGGGCATCTGAGTCTTTGTTTTTAGCTCCCACAGTCTCCTTGGCAAAGTGGCTGGGCAGGAAATGTGTAAGATAAGCCTAGAACAAGGCGTAACACCCAGCACCACGGAAACCAAAGCTGAGTAGGATTGCTAAGAGGCCTCGGGAGCAATCAGGCGTGGCTCCCACTGGCCCACAGAGAGACAACCTGAGCCGCCATAAGGACAGTAAACAGAAGGAACTGAAACACATCACATGTTTAAATACACAAGTGCATACTGGTACTGAAAAAAAACAAAAAACACTCTTGATGTCACCGGTAAAAGATGCTAGTGAACCAAGCCGTTCTGAACACAGAAAACGGGTAGGAAGCAAGCATTTTCCCCTCCTTTGCTAACTGACTACACCAGAGGGGGATCAAAGAGATGAGGGGAAGTATCTCTGCATAGAAAGAGAACAGCTAATAAATGAGGGGATGATATGATGTAAGAAAGTGCACTAGGTTGCAACCACAATGGAATACGGAAATATATGATGACATTAAAGATAATAGCCGTAGTGTTAAAAATCATATTCTTTTTGATACTATCACTGGGGCAGGTTGGGTAAAGGGTACACAGGAACCCTGTAAATTTTGCAAGTTTTTGTGAGTTGTTATTTCAAAACAAAAAGTTATTAAAAATTTAAAATCCCTGCCCTGCCCGGTGTGGCTCATTGGTTGAGTATCATCCCATGCACTGAAAGGTCACTGGTTCAATTCCCGACATGCCTGGGTTGTAGACTCAATCCCTAGTTAGGAAGCATGTGGGAGGAGGCCATCAATGTTTCTCTCTCACACAATGTTTCTATTTCACATGGGTGTTTCTCTCTCACATTGATGTTTCTCTCTCTCTCTCTCTCTCTCTCTCTCAAAATTAATTTTTAAAAAAATTTTAAATACATCCTCAGGTGAGGATTAAAAACAATTTTAATTCCTTATTTTTCAGAGATATATACTGAAATCTTTACACATGGCAGTTTTCGTACACATGTGAAAATTCCCATCAAGACCAACTTCCCCAGTGATTCTAACACACATCCTGGGCTGAGAACCCCTAGGCTCCACTCTGGGGCCACAAGGCCTGGGGAAGTCCCCAGCCCTGGCAGCCACAGGTCACCCAGCTGCCCCGGAAGGGGTCCCAGCAACAGTATGTTTTTAATGGAATCAGTCAGGTGCAGCTGGCCACAGTCCTACATTCCAGATCAACCTGAAGCAGAGTAAGTTCACACTGGGGAGCCAGACAGATCTAGGTTCAAATCCCAAACCTGCTATTTTCTAGCTGAATGACCTAAGGGCAAGTCCTTTTACCTCAAAGCCTCAGTTTTTGCATCTGGGAAATGGGAGCAGTTTGTCCACCTGCTCAGCCTCCCTTACAGGACTACAAGAAGGAACAAGTCAAATGAGGTTCATGGGACTCTGTTATAAGCTAAATTCTTCCAACCTAAGGCAGCAATATTATACGTGGAGGAGGTGGTGGTATTTGCTCTGTAGGCTGTTTTTTCTCCAGAAGTGGCTGGATTGTTAGGGAATCACCAAGGTACTTCAAGCGTGGCCCAATTCCTACCCATTGTAAAAAGTTAAGCAGCACTGGCAGAGAAGGGGTGGGGCAGAGCTGGCAGTGACTCATTTATTTATTGAGCAAATATTTAGGGAGGACCTGCCTATATGCCAGGAGGCAGCTAAGGGGTGGAGACAGAGCTAGGAAGGAGAGAGCACCACATAAAATGACCCAACTGAGGAGAAAATGGACAGAAAGCAAACCAAGACCCAAGTAAACATGTAAGTACTAGAGGTCTGGTGCACGACATTCGTGCACTGCAGGGTGGGGGAGGGGAAGGAGGGGATGCCTAGCCTGGCCTATGCCCTTTCACAGTCCAGGAGCCCTTAGGGATGCCGGAGCCAGCAATCAAACATCCTTAGTTCTGCCTTTGAGGCAGGAGAGTCTCCCGCCACCACAGTAGCGCTAGCCAGTGTCAGCCCAGCTTCTGGAGTTAAGCATCTGCCCCCTGGTGGTCAGTGCGCAGCATAGCAGTCAGATGTTCCACCGTTCGATTGATTTGCATATTACACTTTTATTATATAGGAGGATAAACAATGAAAGCTAAAACAAGAGGAAAAACAGGATGTCAGAGAGAGAGGGGGTGGTGGAACAGGGTTGGCTGATGCATAAGGCAACACAGAGCGAGGTAGTTAGAGGGTATGAATCCCTCTCTGCCACTTAGTAGCCATGGGACCTTGGGCACGGTACTTGGTGGTGCTGAGATTAAATGAGATAAAGGATGTTAAGTACTTAGAACAGTACCTGGCACAGAGTAAAACCCAAGAAATGGCATCAGTAGGATTAGCATAAATAACAATAGTGAAAACAATAACATCGCCTTCGGGCAGGCCCGTCACACATGGGGCCCTGGACCAGATGCTTTATATCCGGGCAGCAAACACAGGCCCATGGGTGGCCGTTGGGAAATAAAATTGTACTACGACACGGTGATGGCCATTCACTTACAAATGCCCGTGGCTGCTGCAAGGACAGAGTTTAGCGGTTTTGACAGAGACCATGTGGTCCGCAAGGCCTCAGATAGCGACTATCTGAACATGTTGGCTGACCCCTGCTCACACCAGACCTCATAACACCCCAGGACACAATGATTACTAAAGGGGAAACGAGAGCTCCGATGATAGCCTTCTGCCTCCGAACCCCGTCCTTCTTCGGTCTCGGCACCAGTGCAGTACAGGAGTGCAGGTTAAACCTTGCACAGAGAGGCCTGGTGCCAGTTTGACAAGACCGCCAGGTCCCGTGCCAGGGCGGAGCGAAGCGGGCCTGTCTCAGAGTCACCCCAAGGGGGGGGGGGGGTGTGAGTCATCCTTATCTAATTTGCACGGACACGTGGAACAAAAAGCAAGGGCGTTAGGCATATGCCCACGGGGCCCTCGCAAATGCTGGCCCTCTTTCAAACGCGGGCAGCTCCGGCTGTGGTCGAACACGCAGCAGCCTGTGGACTGAACAACCGTGCGCGGATGAGGCTGCAAGAACGATGGCCCAGAGGGGAAACACCAATCCTCCCGCCAGCCCCTCTAAAGGCCAGCTCCTGTGAGAAAATCCGCCCGGCAAATTCAGCGAGGAATTTGCATTACCACGGGCACTCCGGTTTCTAAGGTGTACACGCCGAGGGCTTTGTCAAACTCGTCTGCCCACCCCTCCTCCCTCCAAGGGACCCAAACCCAGATTTTCAGATTCCCGCCAAGTCACGTCGGGCTGACACGGGATCCCCATCACCAGCAAACGCTGTACCGACTGGGAACCACGTTCTGGAAGTCCCTCTCTGATAACAGACAGCTGGAGTGCTTC